TTGCCAAAAGTATTTTTTTGTTTTTATTATTTTTCCTTTGCAAAGGAATCTGCCAAAGGAAAATTAAAATTGATTTTACACGGTTGATTGGACAGGACTGTGGGTTTTGGGCTTGACTCTAAGGGTTATTGCTTAAAGCAGTCAAGCTGTTAATTCCCCAAAAGATAGTTCAAGAAGCTATCTAAGTTATTAATATGACAACAAAATCATCTGCTTAAGCTTAAAACTTTCAAACTTTCAAGTGCGTGTTTTCACAATTAGTTGAAATGTCTACCATTTTCCCTATCTCAACTGTAGTCTGCAGTTTGAAGTTTCTATTGTAAGGCCAAAACATTTAGCCATTATCTAAGCAAATAAACAGTAATCATTGGCGAGTCTCCCCAGCTCAAGTTTTCATTTGAATAAGTTTTTCGGCAAATGTTTGCCATCAACTTTAAGACAGACAAAAGTCCCCCCAAGATAAGCCAAAAATCTGCAGTGCATACATTTGCCAAAAAAAAAGAAAAAGAAAAATAAAGGAAAATATAAAAGAAAATCTGAAATAATAAAACTATGAATGGAAACTTTGGCAGAGACATTCGCTCACACACGAAGTAGTCATGGAACAGAAATTTCTATTTAATAACGCCAAAAGAGAAATTACACTGCAGCATTTTGGTGTCGAGAAGGATGTGAATGTGTGTATGTGCTTGGCTTTCTCTTTAAGTTAGTGTGTGTGAGTAGAGTTTCTGTGGGCATTGTATCACGACTGCATTAATTTATGTACGAAACGGCATGGCAATGGCATTACACTGCAATGCACAGCACGTACCGAATGAAACGATCTCCATGGAGCTGAATCTGCGGCCAAAAGTCAGACAGGCTCTATCTGCATGTTGAGGCCAAGGCACTGCAAGATGCAAAATCACTCGGAAACCGGAAAAGGAAGCTTCGGATGGAGCAAGGACAATGTGGCTGATAAAGAGAGTAGTGAGAAAAAAGCAGGCAGAGTTTTTGTTAAAAAGTTCTATAATTTCTGGAACTTAAAGGAGGGTTTGAAAAACAAGTTATTGGAAAGGTTAATAATTGAGAAAATATATCTCTTAAGCTTTTTCAAACTCTTAAGACAAGCTCCGATTTCTTTCAGTGTCTGATTGTGTAGCATTTGTGGCGAATGCTGATTGCAGGCTCATTATCTCGGTATCCACTTGCACATACCCACAGGAGTTGGTTTCTGAATCTGCATCTTTGGTCTGCCAGATTGCAATGCCAGAAATGAAAGCTCGCTGGCTTAAAGCTGAAGCAAAACATTTGGCCTAATGTATGCAAACTTTCTTCTTCTTTTTTTGGGGTTTCTCTGTTTCAAGCTAATATGGGTTAAAGTGTCCTGTCCGTGTCCTAAACAAACGTCCAAAGGACCCCACCAGTCAAACAATGGTCTACAAAAAAAAAGGAGGAAGCAAGTTCTCTCATTGTTTGCTTGTTGCTTATTTCCTTTTATTTCCTGTTTTCAGTTCGCGTTTCCAGCTTGGTAATTTACATCTAAATGGAATGATGGGCGTTGGACCGGTTGCTCTTTAAACACACATGACTGTTGGTTTTTCTGCCCCGAAACGGGGTGTGGCAAGTTGGCCATGGATGTGGAGAAGATTTCTGCAACGTTCAGCTTCCTTTTGGCTATCTGTGGTCGGAATTTATGCCAAGGGAAGGGAAGGAGTTCTTTGAAACAGCTTAAAGTGGGAACATTTTTGAGTATTTTTAGTAGCTGTGAAGTGGAGTAGAAGAAGGCTAGATATTAGTTAGAAGTAAGAACTAACTTCCCAATGCAACCTAATCCTCTCAAAGGAATCTCTCAATAATCGAAGCTACTTTACACCTTCCTCAACATTCCTAAACTGACAAAATATCGTATTTCCCATGCATATATAATTCCACAGACAGATTTGCCGCTTCCTGGCACAAATTCATGATCAGGTATTATGCCACCGCACATTATTATTATTATTATTAATTATTTGGCTAAGATAAAGGACAAAGGAAATTTCAGGTTGGACATAATTCGCAGGGTCACGCCCTCTCACCAATCAGATGATGATGACTGTGCCCGACATTCGCCAGTGTCAAATGCAAATAGAATTTGCATTTGAATGACTTCGCTCACCTCAGTGCTGCGAGTTATGCAACTCAATTTGAATGTTGCACGTCGAGTGGCGAGTCCTTGGCTTGTGGGTGGAAATCCTGTACTAAAACACATACTAGATTTACGGGTTAACTGTTTATAATGCACTGGCACTCACCAGGCAAGAGTCTATGCTAATTACGTGAGTGGGGGCTGGAGAGGGGAAAATGCATAATTGAAAAATTAAATATGCTAATGGAAAATGCATTTTGTTTACTCGTAATGGCAACTCTCCTCTTTTCATTCTGTTGACAAAGCATAATCGAAATTCGCATTGCAGTTGAATTCATAAATTTGTGTGTGGAAAATGATAAATGAAAAGCAATTGCTAGAAAGGAAACTCCAGCTCTGGGAAAACTTTAAAACAAGAACGGTATTTATCGCCCGCACACAGAAACAATCGCACAGATTGTCGCTATCTTTGGCCGGCAGTTTATTGTTCTCATAATTTAAAGCGATTTAATCCGGCTGTCTCGTTCACAATGGAAACCAATTAAGTTCTGTCACATCATTTTAATGAAATTAAAATAAAATCAGTGCGAATAAATAGGCTCCTGATGGATGGCTGAAAACCGCAGGCTTTGCTTTCCATTTTCTTTTTCTTATTTTCTTGCCTTGTCTCAAGGCTGAATTCTTTTCGTCGACGGTTTTTTAAAATTCAGGGCATGTCCGCAGGCGTCTGACAGAGGCCACCCCCCCCTCTCGGTAATAAACAAGTTACCCCCAACACCACCCACTCACCCACTGACTGAGTGACTACTACATGAACAAGGTGCTGCCTGTTTGCTTGCGGCTTCAGCTGCTGCATGAATCCTTAAGTGACTATCAACAATGTTGGTAAAACTGAAAAAAAATCAGTTAAAATGAAGAAAAAATAAAATGAACAACAGGATAAAACGGGTAACAGTAACGGATGCCAGGCCAGAGTAGACAAAACGCTTAGTCTACTCAATCCTCTGGAAAATTCAAGGGAAGGCGCTGGATCAACGCCCATTTCTTGTTTGCCTTTCCCCTCACTGTGTGAAGGTCGTGGGCGTGGTGACGACGGGTTGAAAAAGAGAATATGGCCAACTAAGTGTTAAGCATAATAATGAGAATAGCAAATGGAAAACGGAAAACTAACAGACGAGGGCAGAAAGTATTTACTAGAGAAACTTCATAAGGAAAGTAAAATAAGAAATAAATGTCTTACTTAACCTAACAAAGACATATTTCTCCTAAGAAATAAATATTTCTTAATGTAAGAATTCATTTTTAAAACACTTTAAGCCGTAACTACTTTTTTACCCACCACTGTTCTCCAAGAAATCCCACATATATGAAAGCCCGCTGTGATTCTGTTTGTATTTTCCGAGTCTATCCTCGTGCAACTTTTACTTTTCGCCAGTCGTCCGTTTGTTTTAAATAAATTATGCCTGACTACGAGCTTTATTTAACCTCATCATGTTAACGAGTCGGCTTACTCGGCTCCGTTCAGAGGGAGAACTGCTCTTCTTTATGTGCGACACACATCTGGCTTGCATATTCTAGTACCTTAACCAAAATGCAAATTCATTTCCTGTACTTTGGTCCCCGGGCAATTAGTGGGCCACTTTGGTGCAATTGGCTAAATTACAAGCGGCTCGATTTAATTTTTGCCAACTTGATATTCTCTTATTTTTGTGCGAAAAACCCTCGGCCACAGGAAGTCATTGTCATTGTGATTCGGGTTGGCTTTTTTTGTTGTGGCCTGATGGTGTCTGGCTGGCAGTCAAGTGAATTAGCATAAATTATTGGCCTTGCCGTTGGGGGAATTGGCCTCGCTTTTAGCCGGCTTCAATATTTGTTTGCCCTAAATGGAAATTTAATATTGCTACCAAAGGGCATTTAATATTTATGCCTAAGTTGAGGTAAGCGAATTAACAGATTTTTGGGTGAACAAATTGGTTGATCAATTTGGATATTTTTAGGGATTTAATTTAGAAAATAAATCTTAATTTTAAAGAGAATTTTGTCACTTTTTGATCACTTATATTTTGATATTTAATTCTAATTTATGAAAATATTTTTAAAAATATTTTTCTGATAAACAGAATTTGATTTTCATTTCAAAGTTGTTTTCAAATCTTAAAAGCTGTAAAAAGATGTCCCATAAACCTTTACAGATCATAAATATCTCCCATCGCCGACTTAAGCTTAACGATTATCTCTGATCTGCGCTAATTTCCCGGCAAATAATCGCCCCAATTAAATTTACGACCATCTTAGCTGGGACTCAACAAAACGCTTGAGCAAGCTTCAAATTTTTATTACCGCATTTCTTACGCCAAAGCCCAGCCCATAACGAAGCCATAAAATAGGGCGTGGCGGCACACTTTTCCCTAAGCATAAATCAAATAAAAAATATATATATAAACTAAAGCCGACTAAGGCAGAAGGAAAGTCAGTCATCTGCACAGCTGCTATTAAATATTACGCATACGCAATGTTAACACTTTATAAACGCATTAGCGACCATCCGACATCTTGTAAAAAGGGCAAATATTGCATAATTTGGAGTGTGTGTGTGTGTGGGTTCTCATATTAAAATACAATTTTCAAGCTGAACGACAGGAAAATTTGAAACAAAAATGTGAAAAAATAAAAGGCAGGCTGGCTAAATATTTATGAGCCAAGAAGGAAAAGGTTTACCCTGACCATTGTCAGACATAAATCATACGATTATTGGGTGAAAACACGTGCAAAGATATAGCTAATATGCAGTAAGTTTCATAACTATAAGGTTGTCTATAGCTTGGGGGATAAAAGTTATTTTAAAAATAAAAAATGTAGCTTAAACTTTCATTTTTAGTTAATTTGGTTTATAAAATAGTAATTATCATTTATTTTAAACAGCTTTAATAAATTTAAATAGTTTAATATTCAATTTTGAAACGCACTGTAACCACGTGGCAACGAGTCCTTATAAATGGCTATGCCACGCCCATAAGGCGCCGGACATTAAACTCAATGAGTTGAAATTATTTGCAGCTGAAGGTCAACTAAAAGCGGACTGAATAAATGGCGAGGGAGTTGGGGAGCAAAAAAAGTTGCTAGAGAAGTGGATGGTTGCCATGGTTCGATGGGCTCGGTGGGCGTGGCTGCTGGGGCGCCATTAAAGACAACTTCCGCAAACAATAAATTTTGCTTACCAAAGAAGAAGCTGGCTGCGTGATGGTGAAACGGAACCCAAAATGGTTTTTGGGGCTGCTAAGAGCTTAAGCGCTATTTTTTAAAAAAGAATTTTCGACATTTTTTTTTTTCTGGGCCACCAAGAAAACTGCTGTCGATTAAGCTGTTAAATATATTTTTTGCCGCTTTTGTTAGAGTTTCGCGGTTTTTGGTTTCATTTTTTTTTTTTTTTTTTTGAATTGGCTGGTGAATTTTTGGTTAGCTAAAATGTGCACGGCTGCGTTAATTTGTATGGATTATTTATGGTGGCCGCTGGCTTTTCTGCTGCTTCTGGCAGCAAATGAGGCCACAAAGGAAGTGTGGCTGGCGAAAACTCCGTCCGAGCGCGAGAAAGCCCGGATGAGCTGCAAGTTTTCGGCAAAAGTTTGCAGCCGCACAAGTGCCAACTAGAATTTATGGCAATGTTTTTGAAAGTTGGCAGAGCATTGCCAATGTTTCCAGCTCGTATACATTTAATTTCCCTGACTGTACAAAATCAATTAACAAGAAATGAAAGCCGCAGCTTCGACATCAAACTGATATCAGTTTTCTTTGCACCTTCGATCGAAGATGTTGCCGGTTCTTGTGGTTTTCCAATTTATAAGTTTTACTTATAGTAAAGCAGAGCTTAGGGAAATTTCACCCTGTGGAGATATGTTTAAGAAGGCTGATTCCAATCTTACCACCATTTTCCATTGCCTCATGGAAAATTATAATCTCACTGCCACTCTATCAGGTGTTTTATTGAAAATGGATCAAGTTGAAGTGCTGCTGGATGGAGTTCCCACTGATGAACAGAAATATAAGCCATCGCCTTTCGAAAACATAGATGATATATTGGACATACCAGCTGATGTTTCCCATAAAGATTGCCTAACGAAGCACCAAATTATGCAAGCCATACTAAGAAAACTGGAATGGTATAACCTAATGAACAACAGGGATAACACTCTCTACTCTTGGCCCTGGAAATCCGGTGCTTATAAACCCAAAATTGCATATAAAAAAAGAGATGAAGATGAGATTTCAACCACTCAGCCTGAGATTGGAGTTTCAGACATTTTGCATGAGATCCGTTGTCTGCTCGCGAAAGCCATTCGAAACACAGGTAATAAATTAAGCTTTTAACCTTTTGTTGGCTCAATTGATTGCGACAATTAAAAAGGCACAACAGCGGTGACAGGTGCGAAAATTGGCCAAAGGGGTGATGGGAAGGGGCGTGACCTCTACTGCATTTAAATTGTAAATAAATATGTGAGCATCTCCTGCCGCACAATGGCACGCAATCAACAAGCCTGAAGCGAAACTCTATCACAGAGGTGATTGCTGCACTGGGGGGAAAGTTTGTTAGATAAATAATAATCTAATATTTTAGAAAATATGTTATAGATGTCTTAAGTTTTAGGCTATTAATTAAAATTTACTTTTATTTTATTACAGATTCGTCTGGTAATGAGGAAGAAGAGCTCTAAATTTGCCTATTGGAATTAACTTACTTAATAAGCTGATTTTTATTCTTTACTTTATTACTTTCTTTCATTGGGTTTATTATCTTATGCCAGAGAAACCCATTTTAATTAGTAAGTTAATTAATAAGTTACGAAGTCTAAAATTCAGACCCGAAATATTAGATTTAATCTTAATCTTGTTTTGGTCATTTAAAACCCAAATAAAGATGTAATTTGAACAACTTAATTTAGCTACTTAATAGATTTTCTTTCAGTACCTAAGAGAACCTGCTGTGCTGGCAAAAAAAACTTGTGGTCACATGTCTGTGTTGGCTCCCTCCTTTTCCCTTTTCCCCCAGCCTGGTTTGGCCTGGTTTTTAAATTGAAATCTCAGCAGCGAACGCTGGACATTCTCCTGTTCCCCATTGGCTAGAGAAAGGGAGAGTTGTCTCCGCATTTCACCCGTCCTTGGTGCGCTTTAAATAATTGCTTAGAAGCCGAGCATCACACTCACACTCACACACCCAGACACACACACTCGTTACAATAATAACCGAGCAAGCACTCCGGCTATGATAATAATAGCAAATAGAACCTGCCGCAGATGGAGCTGCCACTACTCTCGGACAGCACCATTTTCCCACATAAGCCTTTGGCTTATGACCCCTACTGCAAATGCATTCCCCTTACGATATATATACTATATATATATATGTTATATGTAGTAGATGCGAAGGGATAGTTGGCGTGCATGTGTTGGTGCTGGCATTTAATGTGCCATATAAAATAATTTAATGACCAGCTGGAGGACGAAAGGAGTCTCTGTGGTAATGAGAAAAACGATTTGGGTCCACTAAAGCGGGCGGGACTGTAAACGATAACGACGATGGCATATTATGCTGCAGATAGCCGTGACAAATGTCTGGGCGGCATTTTAATTGGTAAACTCATTCCGCTTAGATCGACGTATGGAAAAACAATTAAATCCATAAATATTGACTTGTGAACATTTTGAAATTGAGTAATCAAGCCAATGAGCATCAAGTATACGCAATAAATGAGAATTGATGGCATTTCTAATGAGCAAGTGTGTCATTTTAAGATAAATATTAAACATAAAATGGAAAAGCAAATCGGTTTTAGCTTCTATTTAAACATTAAATATTTTTTAAAATCAAATAAAGAAGCTTTTTGGTATAGGGAGAGGTTTATGTTATTAGAAGTAGGGAAATCTCTATCCATGTTTAAGTAAATTCTTTATAAAATCCCAAAAATATATATTAACTTTAAAAATCATAAAGCAATGGTCTGACATTTCCTTTCTTTACAACTAAAGTCTACTTCCTATCAAGAATTTTCAGCTAAGAACTCATTTTATTCCCATATTTACGTTTCTTTTCTCTCTTGAAATTGCTTTCTTATTAATTTTCTTGATTTTAAATTGGCATTTTTAGCTTCCCTCCCCGAAACATCTTCCAGCTTAATCTGCAGAAATTTACCATCGGCTGCCTCAAGTCAACCCTAATTATGTTATTCCTGGCCCCGCCATAAGCAATTCGCGGGTAAATCCCCTTTTAAAGAGGCTTTAAAAGACGAAATTAATTTCGAGGATTTTTATTTTCATCGGATTTCCTTAGGTTTTCGGCTCTCCATTTTTGCCTTTCTTGGCTTGTCTCTTATTTTCCCGAGTTTTTCTTCTTACATTTTTACTGTCTCGGTCATTTTCTGCAAAATAGTTGCGCTTTATTTCCAGCCAACTCTGTCGCTCAAGTGACAGCTGTCCTCACCTCCACTTCCGCTAGAATGTCAATAAAAATTCAATTACGTTTTCCGCTGAAGAAAAGTTGCCGCTGAAAATACGCTTTTCTTTATGGCCGGCCTTCTGTTTCCATTTAAAATTGCCTCTCTTTGTCAAACGGAATTTGTTTGGCATCCTGATCGATTTGTGATGCTGGGCTGCTGGGCTGCTGGGCTTGGGCTGCCAGAGAAATCAGAGACACAAGGCACTTATATTTAATGGCCTAATTATGTAACCAAACGCCCACACATAAATAGGCTGAGTAAATAATCATAATCATCTCAGCGCGGAGGGGAGAAAAAGGAACCATAAAGTTCTCTCCGTTCAAATAAAAATAAATTGTGCGATTTGGCTTGGGCAATTTGGCTGAAATGTTTTCCCAGGCCTGAACCCATATGTTTATACTAGTTTTTTCTCACATTTTATTTTTTTTTTGTGGTTAAATAGTTGGCCAGGTTTATGCTGATGATGCCGAAGGTCGTTGTGCATTAAACCAAATTTTATGTTACCTTTTAGCAGGTGTAGTATCAAAGAGGAGCTCTCTCATCCTTATATATATAAAAATATTTATATATTTTTGGCCACTCTCTGGCAAAGACTAACTGTTATACTGCCTGTAGTGTTATACGTCGAAGGCTGCTGCATACTTACAGGCTCGTTTGCGCAAAAATTTCAGTCTCCCTTTGCAAGTGCTCAAGTGAGGACGGAAAAACTTTTTGCTCCAAACGCTTTTCGCCTCGCACTGGCAAGACGCGTAAAATTCTCGTGAAAGGAAAACCCAGGGAAAACCACAGAAATTCGACAAACATCCCCATTTGCCAAGGGAAAACCTGAAAATTCCTTTGGCCATTCGTATCAATCATCGACTAAAAGGCTTAGTCCTTCTTCGTTGAATGAGTGTGTGTGCGCTGTGTGTGTGTATGTTTGTTGTGCCGGCTTCAATTAGCAGCTTTTCCTCTTGTGTGCTTTAGATTAATGAGCCAAAAGTGTTTTATCGTGTCGTGCGTTAAATATTTAATACAATATCAGATAAATATTGCATAAGCAGCCTGTCATTTAGCATCTTGTGCCAAAGGAAAATAAAACGTGTAAGCTTTTACCACAAGTAATTCCGACAGACAGAAAGGGGATTCTTTTACCACAAAAACAAGTTGATCAAGTAAGTATTTCGGTATTAAATATCACAGAAACATACATGAATGCCATTTCATATATCAAGTTACCCATTTTGGGCCGCTGGTTACGTCTTTTATTGGTCTAAACTTCCGCTGAGATATCTTGAGAGTTTTCACATTTCCAAAACGCATTTAAACGGCATTTTTATTGCCCATTTTTGTCTTGTTTTTTATGTCCGGCATTAAAAAATCTCCTCGGCAGGTAGATCATTTTGATTTGATATTTGTGTAACTTGGTCGTTTGTTATTTGGCCGAATTCCTTTGTTGATAATGGTCCTGCCGAAAGGGAATTCCCCTTCGATCTGCCTTTCACCCTGCATTTATTGCCAGCAGCTGGAGATGCAAATAATGGCCGAAATGCCCGCAAAATACTTTTACAGCTACAGGACTCCGGGGCCGGTTTTCATTTCAAATTGCTGACATTAAGTTGCCACCCCGGGGCATCTCTCTCTCTCTATCTCTCTCCCCTTATCTCCTGGAAACACCCGCATCCCTATGCAACCATGGATAAATGTACATATTTCCCCTTATTGCCCAACGCAGAGAGTACGGAATTAATTGTAAGCAAACGTTTTGCTGCTTGCCACAAACTTACTTTTATGCTAGTTCATTTGCCACGCCCCTATCCCCCACGGAATGGACACGCTCACACATTTACAAGGTAGACACGCACATGAACAGTGAGAAAAATGGGTATTAGGGTATAGGAATTGGGATAGAGGAAGGGATTTCTTATAAGGATAACAACTATAAGCCTATATCATAGGGGTCAAATATTAATTTAAGTTTAATAAATATTATTTAAAATGTATTTTTAAAAATATTATTACCTTTTAAATGCTATTATCATCTTAAATGAGTTCTTTCGATGGATAAATGGCCAGCAATAGCCAATTGCTTTTCATTGCATACTTTTAGACGCACTTTAAGTGGTCTTAAAACTGTAGACAGAGCTGTAAAAACTTCTAAACTCTTTTAAGAGCTTAAAGATTTTCCCATTAAGACAACATTTTTCCCCCAGTGAAGTTAAACAAACACGTGCACACACGTACATGATGAGCATGAGGCAGGCAGCATCCCAACTAAGTAAATAATGCGTAAAACAAGTCAAGCGTTTTACAAACCCACCCATTTCGTCGCCACCCCTTTTGCCCGTTAAACAGGCGGTCTGCTCACTGCTCAAATGGGGAGTTTCCCCATTTAGAAACTGTAGAAACAGTCAATTGTAAAATTGCTGCAGCCAACAAAGCGTGGCAAGGAAGCTAAGCGAGTGCTTTGAGCGTTTCCATAGGTAGTTTTGCCCCGTGATGTTGATGATGGCAAGGATTGCCGGATTCCCGCTACCAGGATTCCTTTCCTTACCTCTGTGTACGTAATTCATTATAATGCTGACTGAAGCTAGAAGGCAAAAAAGGAAGCTAGAAGCCAGCAGTGGCAGAAAAAAAAATATTTGCGCACATGTGGCTAAAGTTTCCATCGCTTCAGTACGCTGCTGCTGCTGCTGCTGTTATTCTTGTTAACGCAAAAATTGTCTGTCACTTTGAGACTTCCGTCATCAGCAGGATAAAGGCTGTGGGCAAAAAATATGAGAGCGAAAGATGAGACTCCTTGCATCTTAGTTGTTTGCAAAATACTCCACTCGCTTTGGTTTATGCAATGGGGAAATCTTAAAAAAGAAAACACATGGGGTTTGTTTTATGAAATTAAGCTTAAAGGTAGGGAAAATTAATGGGTTTAATATGCTTTCAGTGTGATCAAACTTTTAAAATGTGACCTCTTTTGGTAATCTTTTCAAAGCTTCAATAAGCCTAAAAGAAATGCCACTTTCAACTAA